ACCCAATGGCTAGAGCCTCCAGCACCCCCTGGATCTTCACTGCTCCTCTATCGAGCAACTTCACCGATATGTCACCCTGCTTTAGCTCCAGGCCTGGGGACTCTGCCTTCAACCGACGGTATAAAGCACTGGACACGAACACGTCTGTCGCTCCTGTATCAAGGAGCGCGACCGTAGTGACCCTGCCCTGAAGACTTACTGCCACGGTCGGCAACCCATTGGCCGTGTATGTGACAGCTAATCGCTTCGACGTAGGTTCCCTGACCTTCGGGCCCTCTCGAAGCCTAGACCTGCAACTCTCGATGTTCTCAACCTCGATATCGTGGTAAGCTTTCTCGACGTTCTCGATGTTGCTCTCGAAGCCCTTTCTCTCGAAGTTCTCGATGTTGCTCTCGAAACCCTTACTCTCGAAGTTCTCGATGTTGCTCTCGAAACCCTTACTCTCGAAGTCCTCGATGTTGCTCTCGAAGCTCTTACTCTCGATGTTCTCAATGTTGCTCTCGAAGCTCTTACTCTCGAAGTTCTCAATGTTGCTCTCGAAGCTCTTACTCTCGAAGTTCTCAATGTTGCTCTCGAAGCTCTTACTCTCGAAGTTCTCAATGTTGCTCTTGAAGCTCTTAGCCTCAACGGACTCGACACCTTTGCTGGTCTGGCATAACGCCACAATATCCGGTACGATTCGCTCTTGACACTGTTGACTCGATAGTCTCTCCTCCAAAGAGGTATTCGCCCAATGGCTATCATCAAGAACGCCGGTCTCGACTGCAAGGATATGACATTCCGCCGAGCTACTACTCTCCTCCGATGAGGAGTCGTTTAACTGGCACACTCTCTGCTGTGCCTCACTCAGATTGACCTGTGGATTGCTATCAACCGTCTTCTGCGCGAACTTATCGTGCTTAGCCAACACAACCCGGCCACCAATCTGCTTGCCGTTCAATAATTGTATCACTCTCTCAGCTTCGCCATCGGTCTTGAGCTTTACGATGGCAGTGCCCTTCCTGGGCAACATGGTAACATACACCGACAAGTCGCCATTGGAGAGCTCACCGATCATACCCTTCGTCTCTCGAAAGGTCCAATGGAAGGGTAGGCCGCTAACATACACCTGGGCTCTTGCCCTACTGTCGATCTCCGCGTTGTGCAACTCGGCCAAATGGGCTCCGGT